TATATATATATATATATATATATATATATACACATACAGATAGAATTGGTAAAACTTTTACAACACATGGATGTTGCAGGAGCAAAATAGAATAAGGAAAACAAGTTACATGGTTCCCTGTAAAACATTCAACATGTAACAAATTGTTATATAATACATAATATAAAAATAATGAATCTGCTTACAGTCACGCTTTAAACTTCAATACACATTGTAAAATACTCTTTTTTTTTATATTACTTTCCAAAAAAATTATGTAGACCTAATATTTTTCATATTATACAATTATGTTTACAAATAACTTCAAGTCCTAGGAAAAAAAAAACACAAACTAAAAGTTAATTTAATTCTCTTGTATAAATTAGGATGGTAAACGATATGGATGAAAAAAATTATCATGAAGAAATTTAATAAAATATTCAATTAATATATTCAGGTATTAGTAGAAACATAGTTGAAATTAATAATTTTGTTAATCACTATTATATTACGTAGCATCACCATAATTCCTCCCAATTTACTGGTTTGTTACGTTTTGAATTTCACGAAAAGCTACACAAGGGTCATCTGCACTAGCCATCTCTAATTTAGAAGTGATAGACTAGAGGAAAGGCAGCTAGTCAACACCACCCACCGTCAACTCTTGGGATACTCTTTTACCAATGAATAGTGGGATTGATCATAACATTATAACACTCCTATGGCTGAAAGGGTGAGCATGCACGGTGATGGGGATTCGATCCCGCAACCCCCATATTGTGAGTCAAGCACCCTAAAAACCAGGCTATGCAAGGCCCCCAATTTACTGAATAAAAATAAAAACACTACTATATGGATGCAATATGATAAAACACAGAATCTTAAAAGAATTTAAATTCTCAAGCAAAACAATGTACTTAAAAATATTTTGAATACACACACTGGTCATCACACGATAAGTACTGAAACGCCAGACTTAACTAAATCAATATCAAGAAACCTTCATACCAAAAAGGATCAATATGAAATCTTCATAGTAACCCAAACTGTAAATATGTAAATAGTTGTTGATGAACACTAAGGGGGAGGGGGGAAAAACTAATGATAACAACAAATATATGAATACATTCATATATAATTTGGCAGGTGAACTGAATACCTTGATGTTTGGAGTTACTAATGCTACATGACACCACAATACGACACGTACTAGTGGATGAAACAATTTTTCTTCTACCAGTACATCATTTGTTGAAACTTACTAGTAATGGATGCGTATTACAACATCCTCTACATTCGAGTCAACAGAAAAAGTAAAATTTGTATGTAAAATGTTTTTTTTTTACACCTTCATGTTCACTTAGTACATTTCAGGAAGCACATAACACGACCATAAAATGAATCAGTGAGTTTGTTTCTGAATAATGATTGTTTTCAAACATTTCTGTGCTTTAAAACTTTATATGACTTAAAATATTATGGTTTAATCACAAAACAAAC